GAGGAGGAGGAGGAGGACGAGTGTTTCGCTAATGTCTGGCATCCGTGGGGGTACTCGTCGTCCGGAGACCTCCCGGGGCGAGCCACGCGCGCGCACGAGCTCGTAATGTCCCAATAGGCGGAACCTCGTGCCGGAGGCACCGGCACGCCTTTTGGCCGGTCGGGCCGCCGATCCCTTCAGGCAGAGGGGCGGGGGAGGAGGAGGAGGGCAGGAGGAGGAGGACGCAGAGGAGGGACGCGGAGGATGGACGAGGTGGGTGCGGGGGGTGGGGAAGGGATGATGAGGAGGGAGGAGGAGGGAGGACGGGAAAGGAGGGAGGAGGAGGAGGACGGGAGGAGGAGGAGGAGGAGGAGGAGGAGGAGGAGGAGGAGGAGGAGGAGGAAGAGGAGGAGGAGGAGGAGGAGGAGGAGGAAGATGAGGAGGGAGGAGGAGGACGAACACCTGCTGATCTGGGCGGGCGGGAGGAACCACAAGAGCATGTACGTGCAAACAGTGGTCCTGCACACGAACCGCAGGGGCCAGAGGCCCCCCCCTCCCTCGTCGCCGCCGCTGGCGCCTATGCCGTCGTGGTGGTCGTGGCGGTTGTGGTCGTGGCTCTGGTCGTCGTGACCGTCGTCGTTGTGATTGTCGTTGTGGGTCGTCGTCGTCGTCGTCGCCGTCGTCACAGCCCACGATTGTTCCAGCCGTCGAGGACTGAGGACGAGCGAGGAGTGAGAAACGAGGAGGACGCGGAGGACGTGGAGGAGGACGACGACGATGACGAGTTAGGAGGAGGAGGAGGAGGAGGAGGCGGAAGACGAATGCGAAGAAGGAGGATGAGGATTGAAGAGCAGGCGGATGATTTCGGATGATGAAGATGGTGATTGTGGTGGTGGTGATTATGACGATGACGATGACCACGACGACAACGATGCTGATGATGGTGGTGGTGATGATTGTGGCATGGAGGATGAGTGTGATGAAGATGGTGATGATGATGATGATGATGATGCTGCTGCTGCTGATGATGATGATGATGATGATGATGATGATGATGATGATGATTATGATGGTGATTGTGATGGTGATGGTGATGATGACGACGATGATGATGCTGATGATGGTGATGATGCCGATGGTTGTGATGATGATGGGTGATGATGATAATGATGTTGTTGATGCTGGTGATGATGATGAATGCTGATGCTGATGCTGCTGATGATGGTGATGATGTTGATGATGGTGTTATGCTGCTGATGATGACGATCATGATGATGTTGCTGATGATGATGATGATGTTGATGATGGTGATGATGAGGATGATGAAGATGATGTGGAGGATTTCATATGATGGTGGTGGTGATGATGATGACGATGACGATGACGATGATGACGATGATGATGAGGAGGAAGAGGAAGATGATGATGGCTACGACGATGACGATGACGATGACGGGAATGGCTGTGTGGACGAGGACGAGGATGACGATGACAGGGCGTCCAGGGAGTCTGAGGAAGTCCAGGAGCCGCAAGAGGCCCGACAGAGGGTGGAGCTGATCCGTCGGGCCCAAGCAAGCAGAGAGCCGCGCCCTCACTGCGCATCGGCAGGACATGCTCACGTGCATGCCTGGACATGTCACCAAGCCTCGGCCAGCAACCACCTGCAAGCTTTGCACACATGGCGCGCGAGGGTGAGCACCAAACGCTGCGTCTCACGAGGGCGGGATGGGGGAGGCGAGGGGGGGAGACGGGGCAGAGCGAGGGGATGCTCATCGCAGTCACACTGAATGTTTGAAGTACTCTTTGACCGCTGCATCCCATTCCCTGGGAGAGGAATTCAATAACATCTGCAGGCGGGAAAAAACACGCAAACACAATTAATCGTCGATTCCCAAGAAAATATTGGAAAATATGGGAAGTGGGGGGGAGACAAAAACCCAGAAACTATTGGAACATCTGGGAAATCCTGTTATCTGTGTGTATTTATTTGTGTGCCCCAGGGCCCCTTCAATAACATCTGCAGGCGGTCGGGGTCGTCTCCTGCAGCACTCGGCGCGCGGGCGTGCACGTAGCTGGTCCACTGCGAGCGCGGCCTGCCTCGGTTCTTCACGGACCGCCATGCCCGCGGCATTGAAGAGTGCGCCTGGCCTGGCTGAAAAGCCACTGCCTTCAGCAGCGATTGCGAGGGTGCCACTGCAAGTTTCCCATGGTATTCAAGTTGCCGCTCCAATGATATGACTGACCATGGGGGTGTTTGTGTTTCAGGCCGGACGCGTGGATTTCTAACGGAGGGTAAGAATGCGGATTGGATTTTTAGAATTTTGCGAACGCATTTGGCTCGAAATCCATCCAGCCTGTTTTCGCCTGCTTGCAATAATTCGCAATCTACCAATCCATGCAGTACGAGACATGACCGCAGTACCCGTAGCTTCTGTTGCGTGGCCATTTTTTCCGTGGTTCCAGACAGTACGTAACTTGTCAAATGCCCTTTTAGCTTCTCTGAGACGGCGCGTTATTTGAGCTTTGGGCTTACCATCTGCGCTTAAGAGAACATCAATATACACAACGTTGTCTCCAAATTGCGTTTCTTCGCCATTCGGCCCCTCAACCGTATCATCCTGTCTTGTTTTCAATGATCGTGTGCTGCCAGCGTTCAGGGCGAACCCAAAGGTGTTCCTCATGTTTGACACGTTGTTAGAATATATCTGAAGTGGTTCCGAGCCACATTATTGACACGTTCTTTGACACATTGTGCCACACGTAGCGTGTCGTCGACGTGGATCTGTATCAGAATATTTGACACGTTATTTGACACATTGTGCCACGAGCAGCGCGTCGTCGACGTGGATCACGTTAATCGTGGCCATATGCGGCTTGTTCTTGGAGGCGCCCAGCTGCGCGTGGAAGTTCTCGACGGCCTCGAGGAGCACCGACATAACGATTCATAAAGGACAGCCTTGCGCAAGTTGGGTTCCAGCGTGTTGAGTCTTTTGCGGTGAAGTGGTTGCCCAGTCTTTGACCTCAAGCTTGCGCGCCTTAGTCATGCTCAGCATTGCAGGCGGTGCTCGGAAGCTGTGGAGCGCGAGCAGTAGCCCCGCGGGTCTTGTACGATCGACAGCTGTGCTCCAGTCTGCCAACGGCAAACATAGTTCCGATGTTTGCCCTCCAAAGACACACATCGATGAGTCTTCGCACCGAACCTAAGTCGGGTATGTCCCTTTACAGGAGGAGTTTGTAAGTAGTCAAAACATCTGGGGATATACATATAACGGCGCACCGGGTCCGGGGGCCCGGGGCCGGGACCCCGACCACAAATGTGGGCTCCGGGGGGCCCGGAGGCTCGTCGGACCGCTGGACGCCGTCCAAGATCGTTCGCAGGCGGCTTCGGAACGCGCTCCGATGGCTCCAGATGCCTTCCAAGACGCCTGTCATGACACCAAGAAGGTCCCAGAAGCCTCCAAGACGCTCCGAGAGGCAGCCCAAGAGAGGCCCAAGAAGCAAAAATCGTGCCATTCCTATGGGAAAACGTATATTTTTCGCATGTTCGCCTCTTGGGCTTTCGCCGCGTCCAAGACGGCCCAAGAGGCGCCCAAGACCGCCCCAAGACGGCCCAAGAAGCTTCCAAGAGGGCCCCAGGACAGCCCAAGAGGGCCCCAAGACGGCCCAAGAGGCGCCCAAGATGGCCCAAGAGGGCCCCAAGACGGGCCCAAGAGGGGCCCAGAGGGGGACCACGAACCGCAAGCTCGAGCCTTCCGCCCCAAGAGGCCGCCAGGAGGCCCCAAGGAGGCCCCTCAAGAGGCCCCAGGAGACCCCCAAGAGGCCCAAAGGAGGCCCCGAGAAGCCCCAAATCGGCCCCCAAAATGCTTCGAACCTGCTTCCAGGAGGCCCCCGACAGGTTCAGAGGCTCCCGAGAAGCTACGTCAAACTCCCAGCGAGCGGCCGGACGAGGCCCCCCACAAAATCACAAGAGGGTTCCAGTATTTGTATCCTTCAGCGCTCTCTGGCCTTCTTCCCCCTGCCCCCTTCCCTGCGACTTGGCTCCGGATGCCTTCCAAGACGCCTGTCATGACACCAAGACGGTCCCAGGAGCCTCCAAGATGTCTCAAGATACGGCGCTAGTTCCGCAGCTACTGCGGGATTAAGCTCTGTTGCCCCTTCTCTGCTTGGCAGTCTTAGCTGCGCCTCGCGCGCGTGCGCGCGTCGTCGCAGCGCTTTGTGTCTGTTCCGTGGATCCAGGTGACGGACTCTACACGGGCGGTCCTCCTCCTCCCCCTCCTCCTCCTCCTCCTCCTCCTCCTCCTCCTCCTCCTCCTCCTCCGCCATTTTGATCGTTATATCTCCCTGCGCTCGCAGGGCAAGTGCACGATGTGCGCGCGGCTCGCGGCGCGGGATTCCTCCGCGCAGGCACCCGCGAGGCGGTGTCGAGGCGTGGGCCAGCGCGCTGGTCGCCCATGGCGCGGCCCGCGGGCCTCGCGCCGTTTGACTGTGAGGGTCAGGGAGAGAAGAGGGGAGAGGGCGGCAGGAGGATGCTGATTAATCATGGCCGCGGGGGCCCTGCTCTGCAGGCCCCCGTGCGCCTACAGCACTGCGCCAGCCGTCGCGGGTGCGACCCCTTCAGCGTGGCCCTACGGCATTGCGCCGCCTCTTTCGCCGAGGCCTCCAGCTTGCGGCTGGCGAGGTCACGGCCTCGGCCGCGGCTTGCGACCGACGCGGTGCAGGCCGCGTTGCATATATATATATATATATAATATATATATATATATATATATATATATATAATATAATGTCGGAGTGATGGGGTCCCCCGGCCGCCCCCAGCACACAATGACAAATGGGGCCACCCCCCTCCGTACCCCGTTTTTGCCCCCCCATGGGCCCCGGGCCTGATTTCAGCTTCAAGAACACCCACGAGGGCTTCCAGACAGCCCCAGAGGCTCCCGAGAGGCCTCCAAGACGAGCCAAGATGCCCCCGAGACGCCCAAACAACGCTCCAAGACGCCGAAGATGACTCCAAGGCGGCCCAAGAGGCCGCCAAGACGCCCCAAGAAGCCTCCAAGAGGCTTCAGAAGAGGGCCCCGAGACGCCAAAATCATTGATTTTCGATCGGAAAACGTACATTTTTAGCATATACGATTTTTCGGCAATCACGGCGCTGAAGACGGTCCAAGAGGCCCCAGAGACCGGCCCAAGACGGCCCAAGAGGCTCCCAAGAGGCGCCCAAGACGGCCCAAGAGTGCGCCAAGACGGCCCAAGAGCCTCCCAAGAAAGCCCAAGAGGGCCCCAAGACGGCCCCAAGAGGGGGAGCCCAAACCGAAAATCCGGGCCTTCAGCCCCAAGAAGCTCCCAGGAGGCCCCAAGAGGCCCCCAAGAGGCCCCAGGAGGCCCCCAAGAGGCCCCCAAGAGGCCCCCAAGAGGCTCCCGGAGGTCCCCAAGAGACCCAAAAGAGGCCCCAACAGGACCCAAAAGGCCCCCAAAACTTCGAAATTGCCCACAAGAGGCCCGCGAGAAGCCTCCCAAGAGATCCCAGCGAACACCGCACAAGCCT